TAAAAAAAAAATATATATATATATATATATATATATATATATATATATATATATATATATATATATATATATATATATATATTGTTTTGTACGACGAATGTCAACGTACATTTAATAGTTTCGAAATCTAAACAATACAAAATTACACATTCTTTTACAATAAAAAAGACATGCAAAATACAAAATTAATGCAGATAAACCTAAAGTCACATGCAATTAATTACCCGGTGGTTTTCTCGCAATTAAACGGCTACAAATTCTTAAATATCGCCTCTTAAATCACTTTCTAAAAGTCTATAACACTCGATCAAACATGGTGTCCAAAATATCCTTATATTTTCCATCAACCAAACGTCGAGAGAGAGAGAGAGAATTATATAGATATATGAATGTTGTGGTTTCCCACGTTTACTATTCCACTCGTGTAACGTTATATGTAGCGGTTGTTGAGTTGTTTTCAGACGAGTGTATACTAAGCCAGGCAAGCAGAAAATTCTACTTGACCGCGGCGGGGATTCGAACCGTGCGATGGGATATGCTTATGCTTTGCCTTACCATGCAAAGCAGTTGTATGAAAAGTATGGAATTGGGTGTGGTATGCTCTCATTACAGGCCAAAGAGTCAAAACATGCTTTCATCCATTTGGTTGTATTATACAAATACATACCTCTGCTCATAAAGAAGAAAATTGATTTTTTTTTTCCTGTGTTGGTGTTGTGTACTCAGGTAAATATGATATTTGTGATGTTACTCTGAGTGTATATCCACACCGGGCGAGCTTGAAAAATATGCCCGGCCACGGTGGCATTCGAACGTACGACCTTTGGAATACTAGCCCAATGCTCTTCCAACTGAGCTAAGTAGTCAGGACGGTTCGCGATCGTGTAAGTGATATTTCGGAACTGAATCTATAGTTCCTTCGATACCAATGTATTCTAGTAATATGATTATGAATCATATGACTAGAATACATTGGTATCGAAGGAACTAGATTCAGTTCCGAAATATCACTTACACGAACCGTCCTGACCACGTAGCTCAGTTGGAAGAGCATTGGGCTAGTATTCCAAAGGTCGCAGGTTCGAATCCCACCGTGGCCGGGCATGTTTTCAAGCTCGTCCGGTGTGGATATACACTCAGAGTAACATCACAAATATCAAGAAGAAAATTGTTGAGACTAAAAACAAACGTTTTGCAGACTTGTTTAAGTATTATATAGTTTTGCGTTGTACAAACCAAAATGTAACATTATTTAGGCCCAAGTTACACGATACCGGATTCGTATTGGAGCGACATCAACTTAAGGTGTTTTTCAGTCAAGTTTACGCTATTACAACTTTTCATATTTGAAGTTTTTGTTTAATTACGTTATGTTATCATCATTTTAAGTTGCCAAATTCACCTCAAAACAGTAAAATTTTATATCGGTCCTATTCGAATCCGGTATCGTGTAACCGGGGACTTATTGATGCATAATTTTTTAGATAAACAAAACTATATTGTACTTTTGCTAAATCTACAAAGAACTTAATTTATTTGTAGTTTTCTAGATGAAAAAGCTCTCTTTTAAAACCCATATTTATTTTTATAATAATTTTGTGAACCAAAATGCATTATTCAGAACAGATTTTTTTCCACAACCAACATTTTTTTATTTCTTGTATTAATCCATTAACACTGGGTTAAAGCAAACCTGCCGCATATTTTCATAATGCAAAACTACTGAACCCTGAATGGTTAATTTCCGAGTGTGAATTTAATGTTGCTGTTAACTTGTTTTGTAGTAACAGGTTGCAGCATAGTTTTTGTCCTAGTCTAGTAGCATATTCTTATTTTTGGTACGGTATTTACAATTATCCACAATGAAAGCAGCCAGACAATTTTCATTGGCATGCAAGGCAAAAATGATCTAATATATTTTAATGTTATAATATTCAATCAAGACAGATTGGCTCATTCCAGAAAACATCCATACTCTTCAGATGTGGCAGCTGCTCTGTTTAAACAAATCTGCCCACAAGATACATTATATATAGGAAACAGGTCAATCACAACATGACATCTTCACATACACAACTGCAGCTTGTCTAACAAACTGTCATGATGAATGGAAGAAACAATTAATGTTTTCCGTTTGGCCGAAATTGGTATTTACGTTACATGTATTTGTGGCAAAACTCAATCATTTCTTCTCATTTTGCTTGGGATGATATTTGCTTGCATGAACATTTCAGCTGCTCTCAAGCAAACATCTTTTGTTATTCTATTTTAACCTAAAATTTTATATATAAGTGATTAGGTTTTGTAACATACACAAACACACGCAAATTGTGACAGTTTGCATTCTAATTAACTTGCTTTTGCACTATAAAACCGCGACAGCAGTACCATTATTTTGCGAGGGAGCGCCAAAGAAATCTTCAACTACTGATTTCTAGTTGTATTCGGTGAAAACAGCAAGTGTGTTATCAGTAGCAAGCAACAAGATGGCTTACCATAAAGGTTTCTCTGCAATTTTGATAATATTTTGTCTCATCTATGCGAACTTTTGTGCGCCAAACAATGACCTGGAGATAAGGTATGCCTATCAGCAACCGTTACAACTTTTTGCAAACTATTTCATAGAACTGCACGAGTTGTGAACTAAACCGGCGTTTGAAAAGATTGTAAAACTTTCAAGGGAGTACTCACCCAACCTTAGTCACTTTTATCTGATTTAAGATAAAATGGAGATATAGATGTAATTTGGAAGCTGTTCGTTTCAATTTCTCCTTGGGAATTCATATATTGCAGTCAGGGCCGTATCGAGCGGGGGAGGGGGTGTAGGGGGTGTAACACCCCCTAATAATTGCTCATGAGCATTTTTAGGCAGATTTTCGGTAGATTTTCAGGTAAATTCAGGTAGATTTGCAGAAGAAATTCGGGTAAATTAACGCAAATTCAGGTAATTCCTAGGACAAGAGAAAGTTAATTTACAAAAATAACTATGAATGTGGAAAAAAGTTGAGGTATTTTTACAAAAATTTAGGATATTCAAGAAATTTTAGGAATGTCCGAAAAAAATTGTGGTATCTCCCAAAAATTTTTTTGATAAACGGAGAAAATGTGTTATGTCCGAAAATTTTTTTTCTGTTTCGAAAAATTTTGATATGTCCGGAAAATTTTTTTTACCCCTAAAATGGTACACTGACCGAATTTGTTTAGCGACGGGGTGTGGGGGAGGTCGCAAAAAATAGTTTTGGGAAAAACAAATTTTTCAGGTAAAATTTGAAATGTTGAACTTTACATACATACATACATACATGTAATTTATTCAAGATAACATTACAAAAATCTTGAACAGGAAATCGTGAGGTTTACCCTATACTATAGCAATTCCCTACACTTTACATTACATCTACAAAGAACAACGAATAAATTATTAACTTATCTTGACCTACATATCCATTAATTTTCTAAGTCTGTTCGTAAACTGTTGCAGACTATATGATTCCACAATCTCAGATGGAAGATTGTTCCATTTACTTACTATTCTAACAAAAAAATGAGTATTTATAGCAGTTTATTTTTGCAGCTTTAAGGTACAACTTGTACTTATGGTTTGCTCTAGTTCGGTTATCTTTTGGATATTCAAAAAAAATTTCAAACAATAAACCATTTGAGCCATGAATCGACTTGAAGCATTCCACAAGTGACAAATATTCTCTACGTTTCTCAAGTGTTGGCCATTTTAATAGACAACAACGTTCTTCATAAGGCATTTCTCCCCGTTTTTGCTGTAATGCAAGGCGCGAGGCTCTACGTTGAAATATTTCTAATGCAACAATGTCTTTGGCTAGATACGAGCTCCAAACTGGAGCCGCACATTCAATAATTGGTCTAACAAGAGTTTTATATAAAGTTGAGAATACATATTGATTTCTAGTACCAACAGTTCGTTCAATTATTCCCAAGAATTTATTAGCTTTGTTTATGGTGAATCCTACATGTTCACTCCAAGATAAATCTCTTGTAAAGTGAACTCTTAAGTCCTTCACTCCATTGGCACACTTTAGTTCTTTTCCCAGAAAATAACTGTATCTAGTTGTGTCCTTCCGGTGAGTTATACGCATTGTCTCACATTTGTCCGCATTGAAGCGAAGTTCCCATTTCTTTGCGCATTCGTCTATACAATTTAGATCTAATTGTAATGCTGCTACACCGGCGTCAGCTTCCTTAATTTCCCGATATATTTTGGTATCGTCAGGATATCAAAATATATAGGGAAATTAAGGAAGCTGACGCTTTCAGGTAGATTTAACCAAACACTCCCCCCCCCCCCCGACGTGAGTTCATCGCGACGGCACTGATTGCAGTAACTTATTTTAATATCTTAAAAAGTCAATAGGGTGCTGATGCATGCAGCAGTGCACATTGCAGTATAATTTGCAAACAAGTTTGTTAACAACATGCAGTAATGAACAGGTTTAGCTAATTCGTCCAAGCTTATTCTTATATAGAAATGAAGTAAACAATGATGATGTTGTTCAATTGGATGTCCAAGATTCAAACTATCCACCGCGAGGCCTGCATGGGAGAGATGGCAAGTTACCAGACATTATATTTCATATATTATTTTGATAATTAGTAATGTATATAACAGTATTATTCTCTCAAACTGAAAAGATAGTTATAGATAATGACAGTTACGTACCATTTTGGTGAGCATAATAGGAAACAAAATGTTAGTGGGTCTATTCGAAAAAGAAATATGTATGATAGTATTTGCATATATATTCGAATAACAAATTTCTTCGTTCTATTTAGCTGTGAATATTAAAAGGGTATCCGACGTCGAGCATTATTGAGTAGAACTCACGGAAACAAATAAACTAATTAATCCCTTATACTATTTTATGCATGCCTATCCGATCTAGCAATTATAAGAAACTCTGTTTTAAGTCTCCTCCCGTTTTGTTGATGCTACTGGCTCTCGCCTGCATCAGTTTGGATTATTTTGCATTTATCACTCAAAAACCCCAGACAGACTGCCATATATTATACAACCATGCAGAAATAAAAGCCAGGTTTAAAACATAAAAACTAATTAATTACTAAATAATAATTTACAGGCACGATTGAACTCTATTCCAATGAAAGCTTTATCATTTCGCCTATCGTTTTATTAATAAATTTAATTATGAATATCATGGTATTTTATTTGCAATAATTAATATTGAACGATTGTGTCGCCTTGACAACAGCAGAAATGAATGCCAAGCCAGCTCTTCTTTTATCTTATCTTCAATTTATCGCTATATGAAATTTTTCGTTTCCATGCATAGGCCGAGATGGACTTGACAGCATTGTTCCAGGTACAGCAAATTTCACTTGTTAAATTAAAGTAACTTTACAACATACTGGTGCATGCATGGCTGGTCTTAGATAGATAGACCAAATGATAATTTCTTTCATAAAAGTTGACATAAATACATGGTAGCTTACTGCAGAATACAAACTAAACTGGACTTCAAACAATTAAGAATTTTCGGATCACTGGACGAAATAACTGTATGTATTTCCTTTAGGACCACTAGGAAAAATTGGACCTAGAGGATTTCAGGATGAACCAGGAGCAGCGGAGGGTTCCGGAGGATTTGTCTATACAAGATGGGGTAGGAAGAGCTGTCGCAAAGGGACTACGCTGTTATACGCGGGTGTGTATATAGACGTTAAGGACAATGTCTAGATTTTCATTCCAGTCATTAAATCCTGGGTGATAAAAGTTGTGTGGGTAACGTGAGCACCAAAACCAAGGGAAAACTTAAAGGCCGATTTACACAGAAAAACTTTTTGCTTAAAACTGTTGAAGCGACCTGCTTACAACATGAGCTATATTACGTAAATCATTATTTATACTAGAAAATACATGCACGCAGTAACCCTCACCTTGCTGACAAAACCATTGTATTTTTCGAACATGAAGTATCCAGAGCAGTTGTCATGGTAACACGATAATTTTTTAAGCATATTCTTACAAATCTGGTAAAAATATCACTTTTAATTACAAAATTATCAATTTCCCAACATATATGTGTTAGGTATGTTATTATACGTAATATAGGCTTCAATTATTTAAGATAAAATTCAACCACAAACGCTTCGCAAAACGTCTTAAAGTGTTCTTTATAAAACTAAACAGCCCTTTATAATTAAATGACTATATCGATAAACTTTGAGTTTGCAATAAAATGATTTCAAATTCTCGCTTGCAAATAACTTTGCTTTCTTTTTTATTTAAAAAATTCAATATAATATAAAAGGGAATCAATATTAAAGATACACTGAAATTATATGCTGTCTTGTTTAGTTGTTTCATATACGCAAAGCCGTCGGTTTTTAAATACATTATGAATATTAATATTTAAAACAAACTTACCTTCGTTAACGACGGCTCCCTTCTTTTAGCCGATTCTTTCGCCCTTTCTTTATGAGAAAACTTTTGAAATTTACAAAATCTTGCAAAAATGCGAGTAAAAAATTCATTAATCACAAATCAAGAAATGTTGCTATTTCGCTGTCGTCATGCAGTCGTTATAATGCACATTTTAAATTGGACCAATCAGTATCCGCTAATCATGACAGTCCGCCATGTATTTGAGATCAGTGAGAAAGACCACATACAGTTGTTCACCCACGCCCGCGATATTTGATGAACCGCGATATTTGATGATGACTCCGCTAATGCTTTCGTTTCCCCGGGTGTAAATAGCCGGGGAATTAATACCCTCGCACGGCGCTTCGCGCCGTTGGCTCGGGGATTATTGCGTAAATCACTATTTGTGCGCTTTAAGGTTACAGGACACCCTTTTGGGCGTTTTGCGGAAAATCGCTACTGCGCGCTCAATATCGGTCCGATTTTAATCAAATTTTCACCAAATATTCGCCAGTGCAGGGAAAATATGGTAAAGGTTTAAAATTAACAAACAATAATATAATGTAAGAATTATTCAGGAAAATCTTAAGTCGCGGTGCCATTACGCTTTTGAGTTGTGCTCCTGCTGGTTTTAAGTTATATTTATGAAAATATCATTTTTATTCAGCAAAATAGTTGATCTAAAAAACTGTGTTCGGAAATTTTTGTTTATTTCGTCTTTCCGCTGATATGGCGATTTCTTTGATGACTGCAATATATTTCTGAATTGTTTAAGTGAATTGCTCTTTATTATTAAAATATCCAAAATTTAAAAAAAGCCGAACAACGTCTTTAGCTATATCCAGTGAAAATTTGAGAAAAATTGGTTAAAACCCGCAGGAGCACAACTCGTTTGAAAACCAGTAATTACCGTAAAATTCTTCGGGAGAAAATTGAATTTGAATATTACATTTTCAATGTTTTTCTTATTGCAGCAAAATGTATTCTATTAAATAACTCTGCGAGTTTTCAACATTTTTCGTCCAAACTTGGTCAGATAGTAGAAGTAGTCTAATGCCTTCATGGAAACCAATAAAAAAATTTTAGGCAAAATTAACATTCAAAGGTGTTCTGTAACCTTAATTACACATTATAACTCAGCTTGAGTAAACAGGTTGCATGCCGGAGTTCTAGCTAGAGTTGTGTAGTGTAAATCGGCTTTTAAAACATCAAAGAGAAATACATTCATGCGCGAAACATGGAAATCATGCTTTGATTCGTTTCTTCACACTACTGCTTTTGCTTACAGGTGTAATGGGTGGCTCGTACTATTCTTACGGTGGTGGTTCAAACTATCTCTGTATGCCACTCGATCCAACATACGATAAGACAGTGAATGGCAACCAAGGTTACTCATATGTATATGGAATTGAATACGAAATGGGTGCACACGCATCTCTTTTCCCTGAGAACCTTCATAACCATGACGCAGTCTGCGCCGTGTGCTTTGCTGAGTCACGTGGAAGTCAGGTGATGATCCCTGCTCGCAACGTTTGTCCAAAGGGTTGGACCCGAGAGTATACCGGTTACTTAATGTCGACACACATTTCGTATAAACGAAGTGAGTTTATTTGTGTAGATGGTGCCCCAGAAGCTAGAGAAGGAACTCGAGCAAATTTAAACGGTGGTTTGTTGTATGTGGTTGAAGGTCGTTGTGGTTCTTTGCCGTGTCTTCCATATAAACAAGGTGCGGAATTGACATGCGCAGTTTGCACCAAGTAATGAACATTCAACATTTTCATGATTTATTCAACTTTGTTTTAATTGACGAAATAAACGTCTATTAACTCTATTATTTTTTCATTATTCCATTGTAATCAATTCTTTATGAACGGTTTGGCAACTTCTTTTATCAAATGTTGTATTATTATTTGAATTCTTCTGGTATTTGATTATGTTTTCCCCTAGTGTAAGGTGGCGACAGCACTTTTTTCCCTGGGCACTTTTTTCACTGTCTTACATCAACTGTTGGTCATAATACAGTTATTATATATTCAATGTTTATTTTTGTTTGTGATTGGACACAATTAAAGAATCGGATATATACTTTAGTTATTTCAGCTGCTGACGCAGTCAGCGTGCAATAATACTTTTTTTGAACCGAAGTTCGGTGCACAATAAGCATTGTTATATAGCTAGCGTGAACACCAAACGTGATTGGCTGATTTGTGGTCACGTGACTTCAAATAAGTGCAATGTTTCCCGCCGGGCAACAAGTGAAAAATTGTTGCCCGCCCCGACCGGCCACGTACATAAATAAACAAAATGGCGGCACAACTACGATAATTAGAAAGTACGATTTTCCAAGTTTGTGTTCAAATAAAGAATGTAAAAGGGAAGAAAAATACAGAACAAGAAACAGGATATGATGCCGAAACCGTTTAAGAAGGTTTTTAAATTTTAAACTCGTTTACTCTATAGAGTTTTTGCCACGAAAAACAATTGCTGTATATGAATGTTTTCGAAGTTAATTTTTGTTCGTCGCTATATAACAAAACACTTAATGTCTGTTCGTTCGGAAAATAGTTAATTTTGTTTTCCCTCGAATCTCAATGTTTCCCTCGACTTCGTCTCGGGAAACATTGAGACTCTCGGGAAAACAAAACTAACTACCCAGCGGGCAAGAAGACGTCGATACAACGTTGAAACGACGTCAGCCCCTGACGTCGAAGGGTTCTGAAAGCAGGAAATATGGAATATTATACAGCACTAATACCTGTGGTCAATGCTGTAAATTATATAAATATAAACCAATTCTGAAACTGAATATTAAACTGAATATACGCATTTTGAAACTGAATATTAATATTACTCCCATTACAAAGCACATCCGACATAAAAGTGAATGCCCTCTTCATACCTTGGCTGATGTTTGCTTGTTCTTCAAACCATATGAGACTCATTGTGTTCTACTTCCGTTGTCAAGACAGGACTCAGTTGCCACCAGAAAGGTCCAGAATCGATGTGCTTGAATTTCGTCGTTGTTTTGGTAGTATTTTTGCAGACGCTGATTCCCCTAAATTCAAAGCGAAATAAATTGCACATTAGGCTCGTTTACTCTTCGAAATATATTGAAAATCATATTGTAAACCTACCTGCGGCGATATTCCAATGACAACAGATGTGCAGCAAAGTTAGTGTCATTTGAATGTTCATATCCACCACTTATTTTGGCCTCTTGCCACGTATCAAATGTCTTATCACTTAAATAGATCCTTCTGTGCTCTTTCTCCCATAAATTTCGGAGCGATTGCAGAATACCCGTCCACGCATAAAACGTGATACTAAGTGGTACGCGGATACGTGGCTACGCAGTGAGTTAAATTGAAAATGACGTAATGATAAGATAGATGCCTAGTATTTATTGGATATGCGGATACGTGGCTACGCAGTGAGTTCAATTAAAAGTATGGTAAAGACTAAAGATAAATGTATAGTATTTAGTGGATACGCGGATACTTGGCTACGCAGTGAGTTAAATTGAAAATGACGTAATGATAAGATAGATGTAGTATTTATTGGATACGCGGATACGTGGCTACGCAGTGAGTTCAATTAACAGTATGGTAAAGACTAAAGATAAATGTATAGTATTTAGTGGATACGCGGATACTTGGCTACGCAGTGAGTTAAATTAAAAATATGGTAAAGACTAAAGATAAATGTATAGTATTTAGTGAATACGCGGATATTTGGCTACGCAGTGAGTTCAATTAAAAGTATGGTAAAGACTAAAGTAAATGTATAGTATTTAGTGGATACGCGGATACTTGGCTACGCAGTTAGTTCAATTTAAAATGACGTAATAATAAGAGAGATGTAGTATTTATTGGATACACGGATACTTGGCTACGCAGTGAGTTAAATTGAAAATGACGTAATGATAAGATAGATGTAGTATTTATTGGATACGCGGATACGTGGCTACGCAGTGAGTTCAATTAAAAATATGGTAAAGACTAAAGATAGATGTATAGTATTTAGTGGATACGCGGATACTTGGCTACGCAGTGAGTTCAATTTAAAATGACGTAATAATAAGAGAGATGTAGTATTTATTGGATACGCGGATACTTGGCTACGCAGTGAGTTAAATTGAAAATGACGTAATGATAAGATAGATGTAGTATTTATTGGATACGCGGATACGTGGCTAAGCAGTGAGTTCAATTAAAAATATGGTAAAGACTAAAGATAGATGTATAGTATTTAGTGGATACGCGGATACTTGGCTACGCAGTGAGTTAAATTGAAAATGACGTAATGATAAGATGGATGTATAGAATTTACTGGATACGCGGATACGTGGCTACGCAGTGAGTTAAATGAATTATGATAATGCTTTAATGAATTAAAATTTACATGCTTTAAAAATTTACTTGATTTAATAATGATAATGATTACTTGTTACCTTAACCTAAACCCTATAACTGTAACCCCAACCCATACCTAACCCCAAATAGTAAGCTGAAAACCTAGAATCCATGACATGATGTGAATGTTGCAGTACTATTGATTATATTGTTCAAGTGTAATCAATTGCTGTTGTAATAGAAAGTCTTTAATGCTCTTAGTGATAGATTTGTGGATAGACATTTTGAATTTCTCTACGTAAATATGGAACTCACAGAGTGATGAATGAGGCCATGTGGCGGAATGACTAGGTGTTTTCTTCACGAACACTTTAGTAGGCTGTGAACTCCTTGCAACGCGAATTGAAATAGTTGATCCCAAATGGGGTTTCAGTTGTTCCACCGCGTCGTCGTATTCTTGTTTTGTTGAACCACGAACAAATCTCTGTCCAGATTGGCGGAAGGTACGATAGGTGACAACTGGTCCGGGAAACTGAAGAATGGCAGTTTTAACATCGGCACACGTTGGTTGTCTTCTTGGGGCGTCGCAAACATCATGAACAATTGACTTAATAAACTACAGTGAAAAAATAGTGACTCGTAAATTTAAGGAAAAGTAAATGTATTAGATCATTAAAGCTAGTAGCTATTGCTTACTAATATTATATGAACATGTTTATATTTACCTGGCATATCAAATTTTTTTGAGTCTCAAGGTAGGTAACATACTTCTCAGCGCGCTGTAAGGTTTGTAAGTCAATAACAGTGGGGATGGGATCTCCATCGTGTCCAGCACTTACGTTCGTAAACGCAGCAGTGAATACATGGAGTGCAGCTGCAACACGCGGAACCAAATCCATGTGTTTTGATTTGGGTGGGATGACAGAACCGTCCTGTATTGCTTCATTGACTTCCGTGACGAAGGCGTCCTTTTTGTTCTTCAGGAAATGCTTAGCTTCATCGTGGAACTCATAAGCATTTTGTTGATTTTGTTGGCACTCGTTGATGTAGTGGAAAACTTGATTAAGGAAATCTTCAGGTTCAGTACTGAGGTGTTCCCTTGCGTTTTCAACTTCGTCTGATGTTGAGCAAAGAGCATTTGGTACAGCTAGCAGAAAGCGGTCGATCAAGCCTTGTCCTTGGTCCATTCTTGCGATTAGTTTTGCTGCATTTGGCATTTGCGTGCAGCCGAGGATAGCGAAAGGAGTGTTGGCTGGAATATCTCGGTTGCTTTCTGTGGAGTATGTGTAAGAACACGCTTCGCCGGAAAAAAGTTTACATAGTAACATCGCGTCACCGCTCGCGTTGTCTTCATCATTTTTGAGCAGTTTATTGAGGACGTCATAGATTTCAGGAGAGACAATGAAGGTTGATTGCTTCGTTGAAATGTGTTTAACCAAGCCGGAGGAAGTAGGTCTGTCAAGAATGAAGCTGCTCAATTCGTTGTCCAACAAAGATGCAAGGGGTCCCAAACAACCGTGTTGAATTGCTGACGATTTTCCAGTGCCGGGGTAACCGACAAATATCGTGTAAATGTTCATCGGTTGCTCGTGAGTAGCAGTGGCAACTCTGCAACCATTTTTCGCTGACAAGAAAGCTGTTGTTGAAAGCAGGGCAGGTACGATGTATCCAATGGAGCTATTGATGGACGAAGCTTTGTGGCGTAGAAAGGTCTCCATATCATCAGGAAAAAGTTGTTGGAAAATGTACGGGACATCTGATATTCTTTTCTGCAGCTGCGTCCATGTGACTTCGTGTTGCCGAGCAATTTTTGTGAGAGGATTTTTCGTTGCCATATCGATTATCGAAGTTACTGTATATACGTATAAGTGAATCGTTAAAGAGTCAAAGCTGTTATGGTGACAGATCTGTGAATATTTTTAGTTGAGACGCCAAAATTTGCAATATGATATGCGTGATATGACTGTTAATGCATTTATCTCAAAAGTAATGCGCATTTTAGTGTCACTTAATACCAGAGTTACATATGACAATAGATGACACTTGCATGGTTTTAAAGAGACTGATATACTCAATAAAATATTGTTTGAATTTTCATATGGAGAAGGCGGTTCAAGTGTGCGTTAAATCTACCAAAACGTGGAAGAAAAACACCGAAACGCAAACAGTGATTTCATCTTTAGAAGTGAAAAGCGTGGATACACAGTGTGGGGGAGAAAAGCATGACAGTTACAATCGTGAGGAAAAGTTGAAACACTGGACGTATGATCTTTTAAGAGACGAAGTTCTCAGAAGCAAAGAGGAAATCATACGATGGTGTATGGATGAAGGACTAATTGCAAAAAGTCGACTCTGCTGTCACTGTGACCTTCCAATGAAACTTGTTAAATGCGAGGACCGCTCTGATAAATACAAATGGGAATGCCGTAAAAGCGTGAATGGCAAGAGGCACAAGGTCGAGATATCAATTCGGAAAGGCAGCTGGTTTGAAAAAAGCAACATGACCCTTGAAGAAGTGTTGAAGTTTACTTATTGGTGGTGCCGTGATGTGAGACAAGAGGAAATACGACATGAGTTGAATATTGCCGCTCATACAGCAGTTGACTGGGATAGCTTTTGTCGAGAAACGTGCGAAGTTACACTTATGGAACGCGAACATCCAATTGGCGGTCCTGGCAAGATTGTGCAGATTGACGAAAGCAAATTTGGAAAGAGAAAGTATCATCGTGGACATCGTGTGGAAGGTCAGTGGGTCTTTGGGGGAATCGAGGAGGAGTCAAGAAGAAGTTTTATGGTAGCCGTGGAAAAAAGAGACGAGTCCACGTTATTACCGATAATTGAAAGGCATATTGCGAAAGGCTCAATCATAGTATCAGACTGTTGGAAAGCGTATATAAACTTAGAAAAACATGGGTATGAACATCGCTTAGTGAACCATTCCAAAGAGTTTGTTAACAAAGATGGAGATCATACGAACAAAATTGAAGGGCACTGGAGGCAGGCCAAATGCAAAATGCCATCGTTTGGTGTTCGAAAGATTGCGTTTTCTTCTTACTTAGCTGAGTTTTTGTGGCGTTACGAACATAAGGGAAAAGACTTGTTTTCAACGTTTCTTTGGGATGTTAAAAAAATTTATTGTGAATTTTGAAGTGTTGTAAAATATGTGCTATAGTTGAAATTGGTTTTGAAATATAAAAAGCAAATACACACTCTAAAAACACTCTGGTTAAATTCAACCAGGAATTGGGTTGATAATCCACCCAACACATTCTGGTTAAATTTGACCCATTTCCTGGTTAAAAATTATCAATTCAACAAAAATTTGGTACACTTTTTTGGACTTTTAACCAGGAAAATGGTTAATTTTTTTTAACCAGACTTGTGTGGGTGGATTTTTGACCCCGTACTGGTTGAATTAACCCAAATTTGACCAGAGTGTTTTTAGAGTGCAGTAATATATAGATTTGTGTGCATGGTGTTAAATTTCAGTATTGTTGTAGTTTATACGCATCGTTCGTGTTTATAAGTTTATATGCATGGACATCGTTCGTGTTTATAAGTTTTTATGCATGGACATCGTTCGTGTATATAAGTTGATAAGAAGATATCTTATTATTGTCGCAGTTTATATGCATCTTTCGTGTTTATATTGGAATTAGTTTCTAAAAAATGAGGCAATAAGATGTGGTATTATTGTCGTAGTTTATACATTGTCGCGTAGTTTATATATGCATCGTGTTTGTAAGTGGAATGAGGTTTTTAAAGAACGAGGCAATTATAAAATATGGTAGTTATTGTCGTAGTTTATACGCATCGTTTTTAAAGAACGAGGCAGTAGGGTGTGGTATTATTGTCGTAGTTTATACATTGTCGTAGTTTATATGCATCGTGTTTGTAAGTGGAATGAGGTTTTTAAAGAACGAGGCAATTATAAGATATGGTAGTTATTGTCGTAGTTTATATGCATCGTTTTTAAAGAACGAGGCAGTAGGATGTGGTATTATTGTCGTAGTTTATACATTGTCGTAGTTTAGATGCATCGTGTTTATAAGTGGAATGAGGTTTTTAAAGAACGAGGCAATTATAAGATATGGTAGTTATTGTCGTAGTTTATACGCATCGTTTTTAAAGAACGAGGCAATAGGATGTGGTATTATTGCCGTAGTTTATACATTGTGGTAGTTTATATGCATCGTGTTTATAAGTGGAATGAGGTTTTTCAAAGAACGAGGCAATTATAACATATGGTATTTATTGTCGTAGTTTATACGCATCGTTTTTAAAGAACGAGGCAATAGGATGTGGTATTATTGTCGCACTTTATACGTCATTTTCAATTTAACTCACTGCGTAGCCACGTATCCGCGTATCCAATAAATACTACATCTATCTTATCATTACGTCATTTTCAATTTAACTCACAGCGTTGCCACGTATCCGCGTATCCAATAAATACTACATCTATCTTATCATTACGTCATTTTTAATTTAACTAACTTCGTAGCCACGTATCCGCGTATCCAATAAATACTAAATCTATCTTATCATTGCGTCATTTTTAATTGAACTCACTGCGTAGCCGCGTATCCAATAAATACTACATCTATCTTATCATCACGTCATTTTTAATTGAACTCACTGCGTAGCCGCGCATCCACCAAAATAATATACTGCACGTAATATACTGCACTTCATGAGAATTTAATCTATTGATGTTCTCCGCTGACAATTTCCCTTGCTTAACTGTCGGACCACGTATCCGCGTATCCAGTGAAATGGTAGCTACTTGATATAATATTACTAGTGGACGGGTATTCTGCAATTTAGCCTAAATTTCTGTACTCTTTTCGGCTCGAAAACACCTTTTTCGACCAGCATTTTTCCTTGAACCCCCATACTGAGTCAACATGACGCCCCGGGCAGACGCCATATTGAAATTCGATACACTTGAAAAAGTTGGGTGAACATTTTCAAGTTGATCTATGCGCAGAACGGATGCGCAGCGGGTGACACTGCCGCTTTAAAGCAGCCTTGATCAAAATTTGCTAAGATAGGTTTTTACACAAAATCATTTAATATTTATATACACATACAATGGTTTACATAATTTATATTCTTTAACTACCTTACTTGCAGGTTGCTGGTGAAATATTTTCTGTTGTACGCGTTGGAGGTGACAAGTTTGTCATGAAAGGTTTATCATTTATGGAAGTGGCTTCTAAAGCAGCCCATGTTTTATTGGTTATGGATTTACTGCCAATGTATGGGAAATCTTATTATCCAAGCATTACTATAACCTCTCTGGATTCAAACAAAACACAGATTTACAACTCATGGAAAGAAAAGTTGGGCAGCATCACCATACCTCAAGTAGAATGTGTTAAATGTTTTATATACAGTGACCCTCAAGAACTAGTTAAACCATCCACAATTTGTAACAGCATTGCAAAGGCAACCACTTTTAGCTCCACAGATGATTCTGACGATTTGCGATGCTTAGTTGATCAGCCAACAAATGTTGACAGTTTGATTCCAGTTCTAAAGAGAATTTGGGGATATGATTGTTTCAAGCATGAACAATATGATGCACTCAAGGCAATATTGGAAGGTGAGGATGTTTTTGTGCAAATGCCAACAGGCGGAGGAAAGTTGCTCATATTTCAAATCATTGTGGCTGTATCTTCGGGACTGGTTGTTTGTGTGTCACCACTGAAATCACTTATTAAGGACCAAACTCAGGCTTGTTACGAAAAGAACATTAATGCCTGTTTTTCATTTGGAACAATGGAAAATTGTCAGAAAGAGTCTATTTACTATTCACTTAAACAACCAGTTTGCCCATTTCAGATTCTGTATACAACACCTGAATGCATCACACAAGACACAATTTTGCTTCAAGTCCTAAATATAGTCTTTATCCAGACAAAAACTGAAACTTTTCGCTATAGACGAAGTTCATTGTGGCAGCCAGTGGGGGCATGAATTTAGAAGTGCTTATTTAAACCTCGACATAATACGGAAAAGTTTTAGAAGCGTACCAATTGTTATGCTAACAGCATCAGCAACTAAGCATACAAGGGATGACTGTATCTCAATACTGGGAATTGATAACCCTAAAATAATTACATCTTCTGTATGCAGATGCAACCTTGTTTATGGTGTTAAACAAAAGTCATCAAAGTCTGTCGATTATATCGCTGATATGATTAAGCCCTTGGAATGTTCAATTGTATATTGCTCAACAATAAAGGAATGTGAGAACATTTGTCCTAAACTTGAGACATTGGGAGTTAAATGTAAAGTGTACCATGGCCAACTTGAGGACAATATACGCAATCAAAGACAAGAAATGTGGTTAAACAATAGCTTGCAATGTTTAATTTGTACTTCTTCATTTGGGCTTGGAGTCAACAAACCAAATGTGCGAGCAGTTGTCAACTATTCATTTCCTAGTTCTTTAGAGGCTTATATGCAGGAAACTGGAAGAGGTGGAAGAGATGGACTTCTTGCACAGTGCCTACTTTTCTTTACTCCTCAAAATCAAATTTTTCATCTGAAGAACATATCTAGTATGAGAAAATACGATAGTATAAATGCAAATAGAAAGCAATTATCTTTTCTTAACATGTTGCACTGGTGTTTTCAAAATGTGGAATGCCGGAGATCACTGATTCTAAAGTACTTTGATGAAACAGTTATTACCAGTTGCAGCGTATGTGATATCTGCAAGTGTAATAACACTGTTGGGGAAAGTGATATAACTGATATGTCGCTAAGAAGGTAATTTTATGTGTGCAAAGAACGTCGACTACCCCTAAAAAGAAAAATTTTACATTAAACTATTTTGCCAAATTAATTACTGGAAAGAAAGTAAAACATGAGCATGACAAGTATCCAGAATATGGTGTCATACCTGGTTCAACTGAATATGGCGAGTATCTATTGAGAATCTTAGTATACAAAGAAGTACTCATGGAACAACCTCCATCAGCAACGTCAAGAAACCAAAATACTGTTTACCTTACTCTTGGTCCGAAGTACTTAGAAGTCTTAAGTGGACATACGAACATAAAATGCACATTAAAGACTCAAACCTAATAAAACGGTGTGAGATGGATGTTAACATTACCGTACACATTAACATTTCAACGTGTTACGCTACTGGTAACGGTGACCTGTTTTTAGTAAGTAAAAATTATTTATGGCCCGTTTACATGTCACCGCCACCAGATACATTTTTGTTTGGATAAATAATCGTGCTGGTAGGTTTCTGTTTACACGCGACCTCCCTATCCGTGCATGTTTTTGACCATATATGGGTTTACATCCGTGAAAGTTTTCGACGGGACCCTGTAAACTCACATGCAGCACGAATATTTATCTGCTGCTGTGTAAACAGGGCCTTATATTGTCATGCTATACACACTATATATGCATAATGCCTTGTCTGCGTTCGGAATCTGGAAACGAGTCGCTTTAAAGTCAATTTCTAACTTTAAACTTGTTTTTGTGCACTTTAAAGGCCAATACATAATTTAAAAATTCAAAATTAATATTTTTAAATACACACTTTGAAATGAACC